CTCACTTTATTGCTCATATCTTTTAACACAACTACCAGTTCATGATCTTTAGCTTAATGCTCCAAGTTAATGATCCTTTCGTGAGTGTTTATCTAAAAAAAAATTATGAGCACCAACTCGATCTTTAGTTTTGTTAAATTATTTGTCTTGATTTCGGTTGTATATAATACGACGTGATCTTGGGGGTCTGATGTTCCGTTATATTTAAGTATATCTTGAATTTTAAAAAATTTCGGGATTGATAATGGAGTAACACTTGGTTTCCATAGTTGTTGAAAGTATTTATCCATGTCGATCCTTTGATGACCGACGTTGTTCTACTTGTTGATCTGTTTCTACAAAGTTAGAACGAAAAAGGGTCATATGTACCCTTTTACTATCAAAAATTATTTATATGCCCTCTAATTGAGTATCCGACTATATATAATCCTATTGTTATATTTTTGAATAAAAATAATCCTTAACCATTAATTAGGGGTGGGAATAGTTTGGGCAAATCCGAAATCCAAACCGAAATTTGATTTTTTGAATTTTTGGTTTGGATTTGCGGATTAGGAATTAGATTTTGGATTTAACTTTTGGATTTTGGATTGGGTACTTCCGATTTTTGGATATTCAAAAATCTGAAATTTTATACTTTATATTTAGTCCATCATTATGCCAATAGTAATAAGTTTAATACCCTACTGATGATAGGCTATAATTACGTATTTTAATCACTTATTACACTCTAAATTACTGCACTTTAATTGAGTTTGAGTTTTAATCGCTAGTGTCTTGTACTAATTATGTGTTTTATGCCTTGAAGGAGTGATTCCGAGCTATGTAGATATTATGAAATGAATTCAAGTGAGTTGGAGCTTTGAAGTCTGAGTAAAAGCCCAAGGAATCAAGCCAGGATCCTGTTCAGGGATCAACTGATGATAGTTAAGAACGAAACGGGAATCGAGCGGGCACACGACGAATTGTCTAGTAAAATGCACATAACTTTTCACTCACAACTCCGTTTGGGCTCCACAATATATCTTTGGAAAGCTATTTGAAAGGACTACAACAATAATGTTTTGCATTTTCACAAATTCCCACTACCACGGCGCATGGTGCGGCGCGCGGTGCGGCGCGCCTGTGGTAATGTTTTGCAGCCGGTCAGAATCAGCAATCTGAGCTTTTCCACTGCCGCCCCGCATGGCGCGTTGCCCCATGCAGCGCGGTAGTGCAAATTTTACATAGTGAGTGTCCTATTTCATGCGGGAGAAGTTATTTTCGTCTGGGCCCGACCCTACTTGGTATAAATATATATAAAAATGCTATTTTGAGGAGTTGGACATCCTTTTGACATAATTTAGACCTAGAGTTGGACAGATTTGACCTAAGAAAGCAGATACACAATAGGAGCAAGGCGAGTAATTCTTCTCCGAGTTTTTCCTTCCTCTTCCTATTTTTCATTGTTGTTTATGACTTTTAGTACTGTAGTTTTACATACTATTATGAATAGCTAATTTGTTATCTAGGGTTTTGATGGAACCTTTTGTAGGATAAATTCTTGTTATATTTTTATATAATTGAGCCGTAGATTTCTCTATTTGGTCAACTACGTTTATGTTGTGGTTGGTTGAAGAGCTCTCAATTAGTTGTGCCTATTTAGTATGTATTACTCGGGAGAGAGTACATATTTAGGTAGTTGTTGAACAACATCACTCCCGACGTATGTGAGGAATCAATAACCAAGGGTTTAAAGGTGGGATTAGGGATAACGAAACCTTGGGTGCGATCTAAGTGAGTTGTAATTAAAGTCAGCTAGCGTAACTCGAGAGAGTATGTCTAGTAAATTATCGTAATTACTCAGGAGAGAATTACAACACATAGAGCGCTCATGATCGGTAGAGAATAGTTAGGCGAAATTATAGAAGACATAGCGGGAAGGATTTTGACAATTGGGAAAATCATAACTCTAGTCCTCCTTAATCTTTTCTCTAACCCTTAGTATCTGTAGTTGTTAATTTACTATTTTAATTTGTTAGTTAATTAGTTAAACACAAGAATCTTAATATCTATAGTGAACAGTTGTAGCTAGGCTTTAGTTCTCTGTGGGATTCGACTCCGGACTTGTAAACCGGATTATATTTGCAACGAGCGCTTAGTCCTTTTTATAAGGCATAGTTGGGCGTGATCACCTACACATTAGATATTATCTCATATATTCAATAATAATTACTAAGTTACTGTCAAAATACTTTTTATTTTGATATGATTTTACTAGTGCTACTTCTTATCTGCCAAATTAATGTCTTTGTTGTATTTTTTTAATAATAATTTCATTACTTGAATATTTTATTTGAATGATTACAGCAAGAATGAGTAACTTTTCAAGGTAATTTAATATGAGTATTATTTGAATATTCATTTTTGTAAAACTATAAACATCTCAACTTATACGCTTAAAGCGAAAATCCTTATTATCCAAACTGATTAATCTGAAACCGAGCTTAAAAACTCCGATCCAATCCGAACTTATTTGGATTGGATTTGGATTGTTATCTCTTCAATCCGAAAACCAAAATTCTCATATTCAACCTGAACGGCCCGAACACCCACCCCTATTAACAAATCCGGACCAACGAATTAAAAGGACGCGTGGAAGCCATATACACATTTTTATATACCCGATTCTTTTAGCCAAACCCAAATCCCTAATTCGGATCTTTCCCCTATTTTCTTTCATCTTCTTCACTTTCGGATCATTGGGATCCCACTCTCAGCTTATCTTTCCCACTCCGGATCCATTGCTCTGACACCGTAGCAAAGTTGCATTTCACCTTCGCGTGGAGCGAGATAACCATGATTCCTATGAAGAGCAAGTCACATGTTCACTTTGATTTTATTAGTTCCAGCGTCGACTACAACTTGAGAGTCTGTGGAAGAAGCATGTGACAAAAAACCCAAATGATCTAGGAGACAGCCAAAAATTAGAGAAACATTGAGGAGATAATGGAGGAGGGAAGAAAGATGGAATCAGAAACAAAGATAAAATAGTAAAGAGACAAGGATGTGTGTGTGGTTGGGGAGGGCAGTGTTGGAAGATAGTTGATAATATTGAACAAGAACAAGAAGGAAATAAAAAATAACTTATCGAACAAATATTGTGTCGAGGCAAGCTACTGCCTGAAAGTAATTTCGGCCTGAGTGGGTGCAAATAGTTAAGACCGGTCGCTTCCTAAGTTTTCACAGTACTTTCAAACACATGCACTCGTGGCTGAAATTTTGAAGTTTGCACAAAACAATCGCACAAAAACTTACCGAAGAAAAAGAGAAGGGGATGATGTTTTTGTGTTAGATAATTCACAAAAGGCAAAGTTGTTGGACTATCACAGATGAAGAAATTAATCTGTAATTGATATAAATATTAAACACGGTTGTTATAAAAATTAAAGCATAGCTTTTACAAAGAAATAAATTGGACATATTCTGGTAAGCATGTATTTGGACACTTTTTGGTAAATTTAAAAAATGAAGAAATAATTTTAGCAAAATCAGATTAGACCTCACGTATATCTCGCACGAGGGGGAGGGGGTGGAGGTGAGCGGAATCAACTCGTTTTGCCTTAAGGACCAATTTCTTATGTGCGCGAGGCCACTCCTTTTTAATAGCTCTTTACAAGACCAACAAATAGCAATTCAATATAAAGAGAAGAAAGAGACTTTCCACAATCGATTGAGGGACAATTTATCTTTCGCAAAAGACAAAGAAATAGAAAAAAAAATGATCACAAAGGAATCTTTGACTTTGCATTACCAAGTATAAATAATATAGGCTTGAGAGCAAGTGCCTAATTTTGCAGCTTCATACCTCATCGAAAGCCTACACAGTTGCTTTTCAGATCAAGCAGAGGGTGTATTACGATAAAACCTTGATATAGGTTTTGATTTTGTGCTTGTTTAATGTTTAGTCCCAACTCTTTCTTGAATGAATTTGCTCTTTTTCCAATCAATTTTGTTTTTTAGTAAGCATTTGGTTTCAATCCATTTCTTGTATCGCTTTGACATAAGTGGTACTGTTTCTGTTCCTGCATTGGTATGACTTTTGTCCCTTGTAATATCAATAAAGGTCTAATCTTAGTGATGAGTTTAATTGATAATAACGTTTATTCTGCTTGAACAGAAATGAAAAGATGTTTGCTCTGTTTAATCTTGTTGTATCTTTCTGCTTGAATGTTAATTTCGTTATGTAAATTTCTGCGTGTATTCTGTAGCTTGCTGTATTGTTTATGAGCTATATGCCAGAAAGTAAATTGAGTAATGGGACGTCTTCTTGGCTGAACAAAGGAGATGAATAAAAAAAGAGGGGAAAGATCCGAATAAGGGTCTGGGTTTGGCTAAAAGAATCGGGGATATAAAAATATGTATATGGCTTCCACGTGTCCTTTTAATTCATTGGTCCGGAACTTTTAACACAATTTTGTTCAAAAGTATTAATGTATTAATGTGGGATTACATATATGCAAGTTAGGCCCGCGGTCTGTTGATGAGCAGAAGAGAATAGATCAGTTCCAAAAGTTGGACCCTCCACAGTTTGATAGTGATCCCACAGCTAATGTCCAGGATTTCTTGGATAGGTGTCATGAGATTTTGCGCACTTTGGTCTTGTTGAGTCCGATAGAGTTGATTTCACTACTTTCCAAATGAGAGGACCAGCCAAGAGTATGAATGCGGGGTTATATATAGTCGAATAATCAAACATAGGGCACATATAAACAATTTTTAAAAGTAAGGGGGTAAATATGACCCTTTTCCGTAGATTATAACCAAAGGTAACCTTTTAAGAAGAAAAAAAAGGGGG